GATGTGGATGAATGTATTGCTTATATAACTAGTGTTAAAGATGAGAAAATATTTTTCATCATTTCGGGTAAATACGGTAAAAAGATTTTACCAGTTATTCATGATTTACCGAATATCGAATCGATATATATTTTCTGCTTGGACAAAGATAAGCACGCTGTATGGTCCGAAGAATTCAACAAAGTTCGAGGAGTTTTCGTAGCAAGAGAGCCATTACTCGTACAGCTAACGAAAGATATTTCTGACTACGTAGATCGGACCCCTATAACTGTAATTCAAGGCAGCACAACACAAGATTTGAAAAATGAACCAGGAAAGTCTATGTGGTTTCACATATTACTATATGTGTTGTTACGTTTACCTGATTCAGCAACCGCTAAAACCGATCTGATAAATGAGTGCTTGAACCAATACAGGGACAATAAACTTGAACAGCGAAAAATTGAAGAATTTGGAAACCAGTACAAATGCGAAGAGGCAATCCGTTGGTATACGCGCGATTGTTTTGTCTATCGACTTATTAACAAAGCTTTACGAACTGAAAATATTGATCGCATATTTCTATATAGATTTTTTATTATCGACTTGTATAAGCAACTCAAGCGTTTACATGATGAGCAATTTGCGGGTAAGCAAACTTTAACGTTATATCGCGGTCAGAACATGCATGCTGTCGAATTTGAAAAATTACAAAATAATATAAATGGTTATATTTCGGTGAACACATTCCTGTCTACCACATCGTCCTCGGTTGTAGCAAGTGACTTTAGTGGATACCTGGCAGTACACGCTGACTCGACTTTAAGATCAGTCATATTTGAAATTAATGTTGACTCGAGCATTAACAAAAGTAAACCTTTTGCACGAATAAACGAACTCAGCTTTAATAGTGACGAAGACGAGTATCTTTTCACAATGGGAACAATTTTTAAAATCCTATCAGTTGAACAATTCACTGGCGAAATATGGTATGTAACACTGGAGATGGTTAGTGAGGAACATGAACCCTTGAAAAATCTATTTGATGATTATAAAGCATCCCTCGATGAAGAGTCTTCACTATTGCTGCTTGGTGAACTTTTATCAGAAGGATACGATGACTGTAAGAGGGCTCGTCATTATTACGAACTATTAATTCGAGAATTGCCCGAAGATGATATAAATGTTGGATACGCTTATTCTAGAATTGCAGTTACGCTGGTCGGTGAGGGAAATTATGAAGAAGCTCTGTCTCTTTTCAAGAAAGCCAAGAAAATATATTCCAAAGCATTGACTGAAAAAAAGCAATATTATTTAGCTGAGTTCTACATCGATTTGGCAGGTCTGTGGCAGAGTCAAAACAATTACAAGAGAGCTTTAAAACTACGAAAAAAGGCTCTCAAAATCCGGAAAACTCTATATTCAGAAGATAACATAGCCTTAGCTAATACATACAAGGCATTAGCAAGTACTTATCATGAACTCGATAAACTCTCAATTGCAGTTAAGTACTATAAAAAGTCAGATAAAATAAATCAACAAAAACTCCCAGAAAATCATCCTGCTATAGCTTCTACGTTGAGGAGTTTAGGTGATGTTTATAATGACCAGGGTAATTACAATGAGGCTAGAAAATATTGTGAGCAAGCACTTCATATACTACTTGAATCGATGCCAACTAATGGTGTTTCTATAGCAGAATGCTATTTGTCATTAGGAAGACTTTGTTCAAATTTAGATGAAAATCAAACTGCTTTGAAACACTTTAACAAAGGTCTGGCAATTGCACTAAAATCTCGATCTGAAAACGATAGAAATTTGGTTCAACTGTACACTCATATCGGATCAGCATACAAGAAGCTAAAATATCCAAATACTGCTTTAAAGTACTACAAGAAAGCACTAACCATTATCGGTGAACAGTCTAAACCTTACTTAAACGATCTTCTCGAGACGTACTGTCACTTATTATACTTATATTTCGATCAAGACAAATACTCTCAAACACTAAAATATTGCAGAAAAATTTTACAGTTGAGAAAATTTTGTCAGAACAAATGCATGAATTTTTTTGCACAAGCCTACGATATGTTAGGACATGTTTATTGCATTCAGAAAAAAGGCAATCGACGGATGATTGT